AAAAAAAAAACGAAATAACTAAAAAAAAATAAGGCACTAAAAGAAACCCTTAGAAAGCCTATACACTACGTAAACAATTAAATATCATCTTACGTAATACTTTGTTAATTAAATTATGTTATTATGATTAAAGAAAAGGAGATGAACGTGAATTATCTACTATTAAGTTTACCCCCTTGTCACAATACATAACCAAATTGATGTGCAAACTTCTGCTATGGTATTTGATACTAATCGTTCCATATATAGTGGAATTTGCCCGCATTCTAAACCCACTTTTGGATGGATGTTAGTTGAATACACACGGATATATAAACTTAGAATGGACTAATTCTAAAAAAAGCATAAAAAACTTTTGTTTTTAAACTTGTGATACAAATGTAATTCATCTTAATTTTATTATACTTAATATTTTTAGGAGAATAGTAGGGAAGTCCAGTGATTTAAATATAGCTTTTTTAAAAAGTGAGGTAAAAGCTTGGGTAATTCACAGAAACTAAAATAATAAAAACTTTTAGTTTTTTATTATAACTATGAAATAAAAAGCCTTAATTAATCTTTATTTTAGTTAAATATTACGTACATGACCCGGCTTACTTGTATCCAAGTAATATATCTTATTTTGTCTTAATAAAAAGATATATTCAAAAACCTTATGTTACTAGTTCTAACAGATATTATAGCAAATATAACATATCAGGAGCGTAAAACAGTAGGATATTGTACAAACAATACTTTTAAAGTATATTTTATGTCAGCCCAAAAATTTTTATCATAGTTTAATTGTGTTATGAATTTAGATATAGTTGGTAAAAGGTTGATTTTTAGATATATTTGGTATAAAGTATTTTTCAATTTATTTTTCTTTATGGCAATCTTATATAATAATTAATAACTTGTTCTCAGTTTTCGATATATATTATAGTATTATTATTTAAATATAGCTCAAATATATACGATTTAGAAATTAATACTAATACACATTAAATTGAATACAACTTTATTTTTTTATTAAAACACTTTTTTTTAGTTACCTTATTCATATAGTACATTGTATTTATAAACGGGTTAAAGCCAGGTTGGTTAGGCGCCTCATTTAGGTTGAGGATTTGTTATGTTTGAATCATAAAAACCCGAAATAGGATTAAATTATTTCCCCTAAAACCCCCCCCCCTCCCCCCTAAGCTTGCGGAGGGGGGAAAAAAACTAATTTTATACTTATAGTAAAACATAATTATTATATATGTTTAAATATCAAACAATATTAAGCCCTCTTGACCAATTTGAAATAAGAAACTTATTTAGTATAGATACACCATTATTAGCAAATATGAACCTATCTATTACTAATATAGGGTTATATATGACTATAGCTGCTTTCATAGCTTTCTATTTTAGTATTTTAGCTACTAACCACTCAAAAATTACTCCAAACAAATGATCTTTAAGTCAAGAAACATTATATGCAACAATACACAGTATTGTTGTAAACCAAATTAACAACAAAAATGGGCAAGCTTACTTCCCATTTATGTACACATTATTTATTTTTATTTTAATAAATAACTTAATAGGAATGGTTCCTTATAGTTTTGCCTCAACATCTCATTTTATATTAACATTCTCACTTAGTTTTACTGTTGTATTAGGTGCAACAGTTTTAGGATTCAAAGAACACGGATTAAAATTCTTTTCTTTATTTGTTCCAGCTGGTTGTCCATTAGGATTATTACCTTTACTTGTATTAATTGAATTCATTTCATACTTAGCTAGAAATGTATCTTTAGGATTAAGATTAGCAGCCAACATATTATCAGGTCACATGCTTTTAAATATCTTAAGTGGATTTACATACAATATTATGAGTTCTGGTATCATTTTCTTTATTCTAGGATTATTACCATTAGCCTTTATAATTGCATTCTCTGGATTAGAATTAGGTATTGCCTTTATACAATCACAAGTATTTGTGGTATTATCTTGTTCATACATTAAAGATGCACTAGAATTACATTAGAGGTATATTACCTTTATTTTCTACCCCTGCGGGGTTCCTTTAGGAACCTTAAGGGGTTCCCTAACTTTTTTTACATATATTATGATATATTAAAAAAGTAAAAGGGAAAGAATTAGACTTTTTGACCTTTTAAGGAGTCTTATACAATAGAAAAAAAGGGGTGTGTTGCATACGGCTATGCATTTTGATTGCAGATCATAAATATAAGGTTCAACTCCTTCACATCCCTGGATTATACTTATGTACAGAACATATCATAAACCAACTTTTATATAAAACAATTACTAAAATATAGTACAGAACATATCATAAACCAACTTTTATATAAAACTTTAAAAAAAATATAGTAGTATAAAAAAATTTAAAACAATAAAAAAATATAGTACAATATAAGACATTATAAGTCAACAGCTAGCTTAATTATGAAGTAAATTAATTTATTTTATAAACATGTGTGGATCATTTTGACAAAGGAAAAGGTAAACAGAAATATACTGAAAATA